AGATAAATCTTTTAACAACACCATTTCCAACAACAACAGCAGTAGCAAACTAAGTCAAGTATAAAAGTGTCCTAATGTTTTTAGAAAAGTTAAAGCAAGTCAAAAAATTGAATGATATCAAACCGAAAGTTCCAAATGCAAGCTTTGGCTTTGTTATACATATATTCCCAAGAAATGTATAAAAACACTGAGTTTTATTGCATTAAAAAGTGCCGCGCAAGTGACAACTCAACTCAACCTCCAAAACTTCTTTAACATCATCACATAAATAAAATAATTTTTTTATTTTTTTTTAAATTGTATTATTGGTTGATTTTTAATTAACATAAATGGTTGCATTTTTTTAAATTAAGTATTTTTTTGATAACCCATTTATTTGCACATTTCATTCCTCCCAAACAGGAGTGTATATTGAAATATGCAGCCGTAGAATAGAATGAAAAAGGAGGAGTCGAAGTGCAGTGGTTAGTACGCTTGCCACAGAAATAGAGATCCATTATTCAACGCCACCTTTGGGTAAGTTTTATAGCATCGATAAGAAAAGAAGCGTTCTTTTAAATGCTTTTCTGTGATAAGACCGAAAGATTTAATTGGCACCTAAATAAAAAAAAATTATTAAAAAAATTTATTTTTTTCTAAATAAATAAAGTTTCTTAAAAATTTTTTTTGAAGATATATTTGATTTTTATATTTAAATACAATTCAAAAGTCTTTACAACTTAAAAAAAAAAAAAATTGAAATCTTTTTACCGTGATAAATAAAAACTTATTTGACCCGCTTTTACTCTACTGATTGGAAAAAAAAAAAAGCAATTTTAAACTTACTTGGCAAATTGTGTGAAAAATCATGGTAAACTAAAAATAAACCAGGCGCACTTATTTTAGTAACTTTAAATTAATCAGACAGCAAATTTTCTCAGATTAACTTAAAGTTACCAAAATAACGACGAGATTTAAAAGAGGGGGGATATAATAGTGTAAACAACTATTGCCCGAAATCTGTTTTTTCTATAAAACTAAACATGTTCAAGCAAAAAAAGAATTGTTCCCAGGACCGGCGCGAGTAGGTGTTACGTGGAGGGGGGGGGGGGTGCCATCACAACTTTTGCCACCTATAAAAAAAAAAAAAAAAAAAAAAAAGGTTTTTTTTTTTTTTTAGGTAGGTTAGGCAGTTATTTGCCGACTGTCTAACCTATATCGAAAGGGTCGAAATTTGCCGACTAACAAGGTCCAATTTGGCGACGAAGAGTCCAGTTTGCCGACTAAAAATTATTGCTGGGGGGGTGTCACACCCCCTATCGCGCCGGCCTTGATTGTTGCATGTTTAAAATCCCACACCATTCTCTTGCGTTATAACCCTATAAATTATTCAGTTTACAATCATTTTAGTAAAAAATAAGTTACAGAAATGAAATCTATGGTAAGTTTCCTTTTCTGAAAAAGCTATGAATAAAATATATGTTCTGCAAGACAAACAATTAGATTGCTTAAAGCACTAATTTTGTAAGTGTGAACTACAAATAATCTTTTAAGATATCTGTTGATTACAGAATACAAAAAGTTTAATGCAAAATTTTAACATTGAGTTATAATAATTTGCGTTTATATTAAAAAAGTACTTTGTAATATCCATAACAACACCATAGCAACCGTTATATAAGCAAAAACATTTCTAATATTTAACTGCAAATTTATATATTGTAAATGCTAAAAAAACATTTTAAGTATTAAAGTCTATCTTGCTTATTATTTGGTCATAACTTGAATGATCATTTGCATTATTAATATATAATCAAGTATTATCACATTTTAGAATAATAAAAGTCATAATATTTAGTTTTTGTACTATTTTAAAAGTATAATGTCTAAAGATAAAGAACAAAATTTTGTTTTTAAAAACAATAAACTAATATTCACCTTCATAATTGTTGTAAAAATGATTATCAAACAAACTTTCACTCATTACATCATCAACAACCACAAAAACAGAGTACTCTCCAAAAACATCTTTTTTCAAAAAAAAAATATTTTTTCGACAAAAAGAAGTTTAAAGATTTTGAAAGCCATCCACCAGAGATACTTCTTTTTAATTGATATGAATATTTTGAAGAAAATGTTATATGAAGTGAATGTACGTTCAGTTATTGCGTTTCGTGAAATTTGATTAGGCTTTCAGGCTATCAAAACATTTGCAAAGAGTAAAAACTCATGTAATATTTCTGAAAATGCTATAAATAATTTAGGCGAAAAAACGGTCTAGTATATGCTGTTTATATAAATGCTACAACTAAAATTATAAATAGGGTAGCCCTTGAACGCATAAAAAATGATATGAAATGTCTCTATTACCATTGCATCACAACTAATGGCACGTGGCAAATGAGCGGGTACTCGTCTCTTAATAGAGTCACGGCATCATTGATTGGTAAAAAGTGTATGGACCATGAAGTTCTTTTAAAACATTTGAATGCTTGTTAATATTGTGAAAAAAAAAATAATAGCTCTCTGTATGATAAATGGCGTGTTAACCATATATGCAACACATACTATAAAGAGTCTTTTGCAGGAGACTCTTATGGTACCAGGTAATTCCATCCAACCATGGTTCGATGGAGTTATCTAGATGGTTGAACGCTCCGTAGCAAAGTATAATTATACATATAAAGAGTATCTTGGAGAAGGTTACACTTTATCATTCAATGATATTGTGCAAAGTGACCCATATAGTATTATTCCTATAAAGTTAAAAGGAATCAGTCATGCGTAAAAACGTCTTGGTACTCGCCTCAGAAATCTTGTTTATTTAAATAAAAAGACACAGACCTGTCTGCATAAAAAAGGTAAACTTACAGAATCAGTAATAAACTCTCTCAAAAACTATTATAGTTTAGCAATTAAAAACAATATTCATAGTTTGTATGCTATAAAGTAAGCAGTTTGGGCAATAACTTTTCACGGCGCTAAACTTGATGATCAAGAATACCAACATAAAATTATAATGATTTTGGTGAAAGGGTGAAATCTGTTTTAAGTTACTTTTTAATGTTAGGATCAGTGACTATTTCAAAACTGGTTTTAAAAGACCAAAAGCGAATTGTAAACAAACGTCGTTAATCAACTACTGTATGCAAAAAGTGAAGAAAAAAAGATCTTTTCATAAGTGATACTTAGATACTGAAAAAACAGATTCTTATAGCTCTGGTAACTTTTAAGGAGTGTTTATACTATAAACACTCCTTAAAAGCTACCAAAGCTATAAGAATCTTTATATGAGAGATTTATAAAGCTATGGTAGTTTTTTCCCAAAAACTACCAGAGCTATACAACTCTGTCATATTAAACTGTTTATATTGGTTGTGAAATAAAGTTGTGAAATAAAGTTGTGAAATAAAATTTAAGTTTAAGTTCAAGTTAAGCAATTAAGCTGAAATTTTCAAGATAATATTGTTAAGTATGATGATGTATGTTTTTCCTTGTTATTTTGATATGGTCTTAAAATTTAATTTAATTCGGACCGTAGAGAAAACTTTACTTCTTAACAATATTTTTTCCCGCTTCTTACATCGTTTTTATATAACGACTTATATTATTATTTTTAAATGATATGATTAAAAATCCTGTTACAAATTAATTTTATACTAACAAAAGAACTACCATACCAAATTTGCAGATTTGATCTTGTTACTTTTGAGAAATTGAATTTTAATGTTTTTTTCACACTTTGTAATAAAATATCGAGGCAAGCGAGGCACTTATATATACATTTCTATCATTTTCTATCTAGTTTCATAATTATTGTTAATTACTTAGTTTTATTGCAAATATAACTTTGATGCTTGAAAATAGTTTTTCATAGGGCTACCACCTTAAGAGACCATAGGTTTTAAAGAGACATTTTAAAGAGAAAATTCATTCTCAATATTCACTGTGAACAAACGCGTTTTAACTGTTAGAAAATTTAAAAAGGCGCAAAATTTTACAATAGCTGGTGAATAAAAAAGATATTTTCGAAAGCTTAACAGTACAATTTACAAAACTTTTAACAACAAAATAAAAAATTGGAGAAATTAAATTCAATAAACAATAAAAATAAGGCTCTGGAAATGTGTACATTAAAAGTGTAGATTAAATAAGCAATAAATATGATAAAGTTTTAGTTGACCTTTTGCGAAGCAAAGCCTGGACACAAAAATCCAAACAACCCGACAGAAAAGATATATATGACCCACATGTGGCCGTAGTGCTTACAAGTGGAATAAAAGTGTAAAACTATATTATCAATATATCCATTTGATGATTGGTAAATATGCTGATAATCAATATGGTGCACATAATTATTCCACTTAGTGTGATGTAATCCTTAAATAAAAACGTACTAAATTGTAACCTCTAATTTTATTGCAATGCATAGTAGTAAACTCTAAAATATTCCATGTTATTATGTGGTTTTAATAATTTTCTATTAATAGTTGTGAGTATGTTTAAGCGGTTGTGTAATGAATATAATTGAGAATTGTTATTCAAAATAAACTTTTAATAAAGTTTGTAAATCAGAGTTATATTTAACGAATAAAATTTTGTTGTTATACTTAACGAGTTTTACTTAAGTTATACTTATCCTAAACAGAATTATACTTAACGAAATAAAACTGTAATCAGAGTTATTCTAAACGAAGATAAGGAATATTTTAATACGTCGTGTGATTAAAACTAAATTCTAGTCAGTAAATCTTTTGAGTTTTTTATAAAATCCTAACGAGAATATTATAAGTGCTTAAATATTGAATTTGTTTTTAATAGTGATAGGTCATAGCACATTTTTCTATTATACATTAAAAATAATTATATAATATAATAAACATAATAAATTATTTATCTATCGAAAACTATTATAGGAAAACGAGTATAAATGGTTTAAATAAATTTAAATAACTCAGGTTTTGTTTTTACAAAAAACGCAAAACCAGTATTGGCTCATTAAAAAAAAAATGCACTGTAAGTATGCTTATAGGCATATATGCTATAAAACAAAAACACATATCTCATAAGCAATGTTAATTCATCAAATTGCTTATGATGTTTGCACCTTCTAACATCGTGTGCAATATCTGTAAGTTTTCTTTAAGCCATCTTTCTAACACGGCTACTTCCAATTTTTACTCTAAAATATCTTCGTTCTTTTCACCCTCATCTTATTCTTGGTCCGTAGAACGGGTTGTGGCGATTCTAGGGGATATGAACTTGTCTTTGCGGGCCTAGGTAGTGTGACATGTGAGGATAAACCACGATACCCTATGCTGAAAGACAAAAAAGGTAAGTGTGCTAAGATTGTTTATAATAAACGTATAATTTATAAAGGAATTTCCTTTATATATATATATATATATATATATATATATATATATATATATATATATATATATATATATATATATATATATATATATATATATATATATATATATATATATATATATATATATATATATATATATATATATATATATATATATATATATATATATATATATATATATATATATATATATATATATATATATATATATATATATATATATATATATATATATATATATATATATATACATATATACATATATATACATATTTTTTTTTTTCTTTTTTTTTTGCCGTGTATATATACAAACTGTATCTTAATAACAAGATATATATGTAGAAGGATCATGAAGAAGACTAATATGTCTTATCACCAAGCACCTTAATAAATTCCGTAAATAAGTTTAATTGAAAAATAAGCATTTCCGTTGACAATATAAAATAAACAAACGTAAAATTGGTAAAGTGATAAATAAAATATATTATTAAGGAGCAAAAAATAAAAAGTAAAAAGAACAACATTGCATGTTAAAACTACAAAAACATAAATAAATTTGAAAAGTCAAAAGTGCATTCAACTCAAGCGTTTCTAATTTTAATAAACTCCTCATTTAATTCATTAGGATATTTTGCTTTTTAGAAATAGTTTTTTATTAATAACTGTCTAAGTTTGTCCTTAAACTCTTTTAACTATGTAAAATTTTAAGTTCAGATGTTAGTATTTTATTCCATGCCTTCGGTCCTCTAATTGAAATTGAAAACTCAGTTGCCGCATTGTAACTTATGGGTTGTATGTAGGTGTTACTTATATGTCTAATTAAGTATTTATTCTGATTAGTTTTGAATAAGAGATCAAAAGTTTTTGGAATAATACTTTTATTAATTTTGAACATAAAAATTAGAAAATGATAATTATTTATTCGGTAGATATTAGGTATATTTAACTTGTTAAATAAAGGTTGGGAGGGTGTACTGCGGTTTTTATTAGATAAAATTTTTGATTGCATGTCTTTGCATATTAAAGAGTTTTTTTGATTTTTTTTTGTTAGTACTACACCATGCAATATTAGCGTACTTAAAATAGAATTGAATAAAAGAAAAATATAAGAGTTTTAAACAACTTGAATTCAAAAAAGGTTTTTCCTTAGAGAGTAGGCCAATGCCACTTGATATTTTACCTTCAATATATTTTATATGAATTCTCCATGTCACATTTTTTTTTTTTTTTTTGCAATTGTTAATACAAAGAGTTAGAAGTTTTAATGGAATTTTGTCTTGTTCATGATAAAATTATATTTTGTCTTAGTTAAAGTTAGAGATAATTGGTTTGCCTTAAAAAATTCAGTAAGTTATAGTAATTCTGTGTTTACAGTTTTAAATAAAATTTTTATATCATTGTGAGCATAAAATAGATTAGTATCATCTGCAAACAAGATTGCGTCTAATACATTACAAGATTTTCTTAGATCATTGATATATACTAGAAATAAGAGCGGTCCTAGTATAGATCCTTGTGGTACTCCACAAAATATATTTATGTTGTTAGTTTTTCCGTAATTATGAGAAATATATTGCTGCCTATTTGACAAATAGCTTTTAAACCATTTAAGATTCAAGTGTTTAATACCGTAGTTTTTTGATTTGGTGAATAAAAAATGATGATTTACAGTATCAAAAGCTGAGATCAATAAATACTCCTAAAGTATATTTATTTTCATTAAAAGATTTAAGAATATCATGAACAAGATGAACATATGCCTGATCAGTAGAGTGATCATTTTTGAATCCAAATTGTTTATTATAAAGAATGTTATTATTATCTAAGAAATAGTAGAGTCTTTTATGCATAGTATGTTCTAATATTTTTGAAAAGCATGGTAGTATTGAAATGGGTCTATAATTTGCAATATATGTTGCATCTCCAGATTTTAGAACCGGCATCACCCTTGCAACCTTTAGTTTATCAGGAAAGATTCCTTGTTCTAATGAAAGACTGAAAATGTGCAGAAGCGGAGTTTTTAAATAAAACATTGATTTTTTATTATATTGCTACTTATATCATCAACTCCATTACCTTTATTTGGTTTTAATAAATTTACAGCATCAAGTCGTTCTTTTTTAGATAACTTATTATTTTTCATATGATTATTATTAGAAGTTAAGTATGATTCAAAGATAGTTTTACTATTTTTTATATTAGAGGCCGAACTTGGGCCCGTATTAACAAACGCATGCTTGAAAAAATTAGCGATTAAAAAGTCATTAGTAGTTTCACAATAATTATAATGAGTAATTTTGGGAAAACCATTAGTGCTTATGCTTTTTTTTACCTATCACCTCTTTCATTAAGCGCCTAATTTGTATACGTATTTGTGCTTGCATATATCTTCGCGAGAGTGCTCGATGAATTAAAGTAAATTAAAATAATTTAAATTAAAACAGAGCTGTATTTACATATACTATTAATAAATAAAACTGCACATTTTTTACAACTATTAATTTCATGCTAAATGCAATCATCATGTGTAAATATGTTTTTTTTCTCTTAAAATAATAAATCTGTACAAAAGAAAATGAGTTAAAAAATCTAATCTTTTGGTTTGTGGTTGTCCAGCAAAAACTTGTTCTCATAGCGACATTTAGATATTAGTTCGTTTTTTTTTGTTTAATAATTCTTAAGGATTTTTATACAATAAAATAATTAGTTTTTCGTATAAGTAGCCATTTCAGACGATTTTTTTATAATTAAAATATTTAAATATAATTGATGTCATTGTATAGAGCTTGGTTTGACTTAAAATATGAGGGGTCATTTAGCCTTTGAAGTTAAGCAGATCAAAAGTTATTGACCTTTATGTAGTGAAAAAACGGGTGATTTTTTGACAAAAGGTATAGGGCTTAAGAATGGAAAATTTACTGCGAAATGTCACCGAAAATGAGAGTATTATTGACATTTGAATAACTTTTGAACTGATGATACATTTGACTTGAAATTTTCCATAGTGACCAATTAACTAAAAAAAAATAAAAGTTCAGTTTTTTTTTTTTAAATCTGTCAGGATTTACCAGGATCACCCATTTTACAGACTGAGAGTTTTTACTAATTTCTATATTTTTGGGGTCATACTGACTTTTGAATAACTTTTGAATGGTTATTACTTTTGACTTGAAATTTTTCCTAGTGATCAAAAAACTATGAGAAAATAAAAAAACAAAATTTTATTTTAAAAAATTTGTCGCGATTGTCCAGAATCATCTATTTTACAGGTGAAGGGTTTTATATTATTTTTTTAGTTTTGGAGAACAAAATTTGGGGTGATATTATAATTATACCATGCGAATATGCATAAAAGAATCATGGAATCCAAAAAAAAAACATTTGAAAATTATTGCGCAATTTACAGACCAGTCAGTGAAATAATCATATAAATTACTTTTCGGTCAGTAAATTGCTGAAAATGAGCTGTTCAAACAAATCAAACATAAAAACTTTGAATAATTTGTAATTTTTTTAAAATTTTGGATATTTTCGAACCGTTTTTACATTTGACTTGAAATTTTAAATAGTTATCCAGTTTTTATTAAATCTGTCGGGATTATCCAGAATTGTTTATTTTACAGACTAAAGGGTTTCTACTTATTTAACTGTGTTATGATGAAAAAAATTATGGTTGCACTATGCAAATATGCATAAAGGAAATATGCATAAAATCCAAAAAATACATCATTTGAAAACTATTGCATAATTTTCAGACCTGTCAGTAAAATTATTGCATAAATTTTAGACCGGTCATTAAGTTACAGAAAAAGGGATGCACTAACCAATTGGTCATATCGACCTTAAATATATTTGATATATTTGAACAGTTATTACATTTGACCTGAAATTTTAAATAGTGATCTAGTTTTTATTGAACCTGTTGGGATCATACAGATTCGTCTGTTTTACAGACTAAAGTGTTTTTAGTTATATAATAATTTAATGATAAACAAAAATTAGGGTTACAATATGGAAAAATGCATAAAATCATGGAATCTGAAAAATACATCATTTTGAAATTATAGCACAATGTACAGACCGGTCAGTAAATTACACAGGTATACGGTTGCACAGACCAATTGGGCAATATGACTTTTAATATATTTAATAATTTCCAATCGCTAATACATTTGACTTGAAATTTTTGATAGAGATACATAAATATAAGAAAATTAAATGCCATAATTTTTTTGCATCTGTCAAAATTATCCAGAATTGTTAATTTTACAGACTGAAGTGTTTTTATTTATTTACCTAGTCTTTTAAAAATAAATTTAGATTTAAATCCTTTAAAAAAAAAAGAAAAAAATTCAGGTTATATTACAAAAAACTCCATGCTATTTATTTATTTATTCTTTTTAACACCCAAATTGCATGTAAAAAAACAAATTGTATAAAACTAATAGTTTATACTTTCAGTGTAAAAAATTTAATTTTTTCTTGGGACGTTTTCCTCCATCAACTTAGCAAATACCAGTCTTTGTTCTCTGATATTCCAGAACTCAAAAGAATGGTTCAAAATTGCCGCTATTTTTTCTCCTACGTCATCGTAGCAACGTTTTATCGTTATCAACTTGAGCTAAACTTCGTGCAGTGTTGTCAAACACTGCACGAAGTTTAGCTCAAGTTGATTGCAAATTTTCATTACTTCGTTGATAAATAGGTTATCTTTAGTAACATCAGATTTCTGAGCCAAAATCAGGGAAAAACAAGTTGGGTTGTTCAGTTTATATTTTCAGTTTATAGATTCTCCGTTTATATTTTTTTATTTGAAAGGTCAAATCACCAGATAATATAAGGAGTTTTTTATCCGAATTGGAAACTCGAAGATTCTCTTCATTGACTTGTATTTCAAGGAGAAAATTATCAAAACCATTACCTAAAGGGATGTGTACAATA